CTAAGTAAAAATGTAATAGTTGTGACAAAGGAAATATTTCTTTCTTAAATTGCAAAACACTCCCCATATACAATATAAAGAATACTAACTTGAAAGTGGAACAAAACGTGAGGAGACCTGTTACCAATAGAAAGATTATTTGCTGCATTCAGTATTTGTGTGTTTCATTTATCTTTTTTTTTTTTTTCCTATGTACCAAACGCTTTATTTATCGGATCTCAACATCTCAACAGAATTCCCAGCATAAGACAGACACTATTCTTCCCCGGTTTGACCGAAAGGAGAAACTGAGGTTCGGCGCGGTTTCCCTAGATCGCACCTCCCGAGAGGCAGAGTCCGTATGAGAACCCACCGCTACCCGACTCCCATACCATGCTTTTCCGCAACGGCGCCGGGTAGCTAGTCTGGAAAGCTGAAGCATGCGGGCACGAATCCGGCCAGGTCCAGGGGGCGAGAGTGCCGCCGCCGCCCCCCAACAGCCGGTGCCCACACCCGGCCGGCCGCCCAGTAGCTCGCCCGCGCTGACCCTCGGGGTCCGACTGGACACCGACTCCCTGCTACCGTAGCGCAAGGCCAACCCTGCACCCAGAGCCACACAGCTGGGTGTCCCGGCTGCCCGCCCCGCGGGCCCCACGACCGCGGCGTCCAGATCCGCGCCGCTTGCTGGAGACGCCGCCAGCTCCAGCGGCCCGAGTGACTTCCAGGCTGCCCACTTCCAAGCCGCTTCGCGCGAGGCCTCCTGGGAACTCTGTTTCATTTATCTTAACCAGCTCTGAATGTGGCACATTTGAAAATGCCTTTTCTCCCCTCATCACCATAATGGCTAAATTTCTTATGTTATATTTTTAATTAAAATTGAGTCTGTACTTTTTAGAAAATGCTCAGATACTCTAATTGCAAGCAAAAGACAGTCACCATCAGAAGCCTAGGATGGAACCAGGGATTAAGGGATGGCAGATGGCCAAGCCTTTCCCACTCCCCACCCCACACCGCAGGCATCTTTAACTATTAATGTCACAGTAATAAACTGAATGGTTTAAAAGTCATGACAACATTCTCAGCCTGGACAAGATGACATCTTTAGACAAGGCAAAGTGTTGCACCACACTCCACAAAAAGATCTGTTTATATAATCTTTAACATCAAAACTGTCCTACATCATTTCTTACTTGCCGCCTCCCTTCTCCATTATTGTTTGGTTTGTGTTCACAGAGACAGATGGAGCTGTGAGTGAACATTCTCCAAAAGTTTCTAAGAACCACAGCAGGACTATAAAGAGGGTTTCTAACAATAATTCCTAATATTCCTTTCTGACTGCAGTAACATTAATGATGTGGACTATGGCTTATCCATGGAGAAGGAAATGGCAACCCATCCCAGTATTCTTGCCTGGAAAATTCCATGGACAGGGAGGCCTGGTGGGTTGCAGTCCATGGGGTCGCAAAGAGTTGGACAGGCTTGAGCACCCACGAATGAATGGCTTACCCTCTCAAGTCTCTCCTTCTCCCTTTTCCTACCCGCTAGGCATCCGAGACCTCCTGGACATACACAGCCATCTTCTCTATTCTTACACCCAGGCTGTTGAATGTGGTAAAACACACACCCTCACAAAACCAATGCAGATAAGCAACATGTACACCTGTCCCTCTATCATCCTGCAGGATCAAGCTCCATCTCCCACTCCCATTCTTTCAAGCCCATCTGTGCCAGTCTTCTGGGCACCACCCTCCTCCCACCTTCCACCTCCCTTCTAGACAAGAACTCCCTCAGTGTCTCACCTTCCAGCAGTAGATGTATCGACACTGCCACCCATTATGACAATCTTCCCTCTTACGTCAGGGGAAGGAACACACCTCCCCGTACATAGCTGATAATAAAATGATAACAAGAACACACTATGAAACGTGTCCCTCATCCGACATCATTATGTGCCCCGTCTGTGCTCTAGGCCCCATCCTCTCCAGCTCCCCTTGGTCCATGAAACCTTCTCTCCAGCTCAAGTCTTTCCTTCAGTTTCAAGTCTCCCAGACTTCCGCTTGCAACCAAGAGAGAGAAATGGTGAGGTTTACTCTTCCACCTGAAACAGTGGTTCTCCAGACACAACACGTTAGACAACAAAAGAAATGATGCCTGAAAGATGGGGGATAAAGGAAATGATTCCTATGACTGATTGCCCTTTGCTGACAACCTGAAAGATGGGAAATACAGGAGATGATTGCTCTGAGTGTGTGCCCTCTGTGGACAGCCTTGAGCATCTCCAGCCTGCAGCAGCAGGCCAGAACCCAGCAGGAGCCTGGCGAACCCCCTAAATGGAGAAGATGGTGCTGAGAGTCCTCAAGCTGATTAGAATCCATAGGAAAGTAACAGGGGAAGAAAGCTACACACAGAGAAAGCTCAGGAGATCTGCAGAGAGGCCTAAGTAAGTATTCAGCAGAGAACTAAGGAGCAGACGTGTGTAAGCAAACTCCCGGAGGCCGGGGAGAGACTCCTGAAAGGATCAAAGAGACCAGTAACCTGAACTCCCACGGGGCCGGGGTGTTGGACAAACAGTCGGAGCACAGCAGAATCCAAAGAGCAAAGAGATACCAGAATTAACGCGGACCTGTCCCCTGAGAAGTACCGCAAGCCAACCAAATTAAAACAACAGCATCATTTTAGATAGGAAACACTCCATAAAGTTCGGTGATTTGTGAGTTCATGAAGGGAATTTTTAGCAGAGAAGGGAAACGGGGACTATTACTAAATACCTTCTCGGCACGAGGCGCTGTAAGGGTTGCATAATATGTGGTCCCCACCTTGAGAGCCACACACAGGCTTTGACACACTCATCATCCACCACCCCCGCCGCGGGTCCCAGCAGCTCGGGCGGCGGGAGGAGCGACCGCGGTCGGGCTACTCAGCTCCGCGAAGGCTCTCGCCCGCCCCGCCGCCACGATGCCGGAGAGGCAGGTCAGCCCCGCCGCCACGAAGCCGGAGAGGAAGGTCAGCCCCGCCGCCACGAAGCCGGAGAGGAAGGTCAGCCCCGCCGCCACGATGCCGGAGAGGAAGGTCAGCTCCGCCGCCAGGATGCCGGAGAGGAAGGTCAGCTCCGCAGAGGGGCGGCGAAGGAGGAGCCCAAGAGGAGATCGGCGAGGTGGTCACCTGAACCGGCTCCTGCAAAAGTGGAAACGAAGCCAAAAGAGGCGGCGGGAAAGGATAAATCTTCAAACAAAAAAGTGCAAACAAAAGGGAAAAGAAGAGCAAAGGGAAAAGAGGCTGAAGTGCAACCACGAGACTGTAAGACTTGCCTGCAGAAAATGGAGAGACTAAAAACGAGGAGAGCCCAGCCTCTGAGGAAGCAGAAGAGAAAGAAGCCAAGTCTGATTAATAACCACACACTGTCAGTGGTCCCTGTCTCCCTTCTTGTACAATCCAGGGGAATATTTTTATCAACTATTTTGTAAATGCAAGTTTTTTAGTAGCTCTAGAAACATTTTTAAAAAGGAGCGAATCCCACCTCATCCCATTTTTTAAGTATAAATGCTTTTTTTTTTCTTTTTTGCTGGTTGTTTATTTTTTTGTACAACCAGAAAATAGTGGGATATTTGATATGGGAGGCTTTGATTGTCTTGGGTGTCAGCTTAACATTCCATAGATGGGGGGGTAGCTTTTATATCCTATAATACAAAAGCATACTAAATGGCAGTTTGGAGTCGGTTGTGCATTTAATGTCTTGAACACTTTAAATTACTTCTCTTCACATATTGTTTTGGTAGAATTATTTCCTACAGCAAACCACTTTTTGATCTTGGCTCTCCTGGTCAGAATTTTGTGCACTATACTATAACATCTTTGGTCTTGGTAGTCCAGTTTTCCTAGTAACTTGGTTAATGTGCTGTGAACAATTGACAATTTGGGTATATAGTGTATATGACATTAAATTGGGAATCAGTGGGACTTATGATGTAACAACATATTTGAAGATATTGGTACTTGATATCCTGTTAAGGAAAGTTTGCTCCAAATTTTAAGCTGGAAAGTCACTGGAATAACTGTTAAGAATCACAACTACATGATATTTTAGATTTCTGGTATGTATGTAAAGAATTGNAATCACAACTACATGATATTTTAGATTTCTGGTATGTATGTAAAGAATTGTATACAAATTGAAATGTCTGTGTAGTGATCCTCAAAACAACCAATAAAATCTCAGTTATAAAAGAAAAAAATAAATATATAAATAAAACACTCATCATGAACTCCCTCCCCTGAAAATCTCCTTCATTTTTTTTCCAGGAGTTAGATAAAAGGTCCCCTCCTTGAAAGGCTTTCTTTCATCACTCTAAAGCTACTGAACTGTAGTGTTGGAGAAGGCTACTGAGAGTCCCTTAGACTGCAAGGAGATCCAACCAGTCCATCCTAAAGGAAATCAATCCTGAATATTCATTGGAAGGACTGATGCTGAAGCTGAAGCTCCAATACTCTGGCCACCTGATGTGAAGAGCCGACTAATTAGAAAAGACCTTGATGCTGGGAAAGATTGAAGGCAGGAGGAGAAGGGGATGGCAGAGGATGAGACGGTTGGATGGCATCAATGACTCAATGGACATGAGTTTAAGCAAGCTCTGGGAGATGCTGAAGGACAGAGAAGCCTGGCGAGATGTGGTCCATGGGGTCACAAAGAGTGGGAGACAGTAACCCACTTTCTTTTCTCTATATGGTATGTCTCACAATTTCTTATTATCATTTATTATTATATTTTATGCTTACTTATAACTCATATTTTCTCCCATGCACATTTAGAATATAAGCTATTAGAACAACAGTGAAGAAATCCTGCATCCTTGGCGACTAGCACAGTATATAACCATGGAAGGCACTCGAATACTTACTGAATAAATGAAAACAAGAACTGTGAGCAGGAGTAGCTCCCCGATGGTCAATATTTTGCAGATCCCCTAGCCCCAGAGCCCCCGATGTGGCTCCCTGACTTACGAAGCAGCATGCTGAGGGCTCACCTCCACCTGAGTGACACTGATGACCAGCGCCACCACCATCAGCGCTGCGAGCAGACAGCAGGACAGCCGCAGTCTGAAGACGCTGATCCACATTGTCGGGCTGTGTCTTGATCACCCATGGCCGACCCATGGCTTCTCTCACTCCTCAAAACTCCATGTCTTCACAGATGGCTAACAAACACATGAAAAGATGCTCAACATCGCTCATTATTAGAGAAACGCAAATCAAAACTACAGTGAGATAGCACCTCACACCGGTCAGAATGGCCCTCACCAAAACGTCTACAAACAATAAATGCTGGAGAGGGTGTGGAGAAAAGGGGATGCTCTTGCACTGTTGGTGGGGATGTAAATTGATACAGCCCCTATGGAAGACGGTATGGAGATTCCTTAAAACACTAGGAATAAAACCACCATATGACCCAGCAACCCCACTCCTAGGCATATACCCTGAGGAAACCAAAACTGAAAAAGACACATGTATCCCATTGTTCACTGCAGCACTATTTACAATAGCTAGAACATGGAAGCTACCTAGATGCCCATTGACAGATGAATGGATGAAGAAGTTGTGGTACATATACACAATGGAATATTACTCAGCCATAAAATGAAATGCATTTGAGTCAGTTCTAATGAGGTGGATGAACCCAGAACCTATTATACAGAGTGAAGTAAGTCAGAAAGAGAAAGATAAATATTGTATTCTAATCATATATACAGAATCTAGAAAAATGGTACTGAACAATTTACTTACAGGGCAGCAGTGGAGAAACAGACATGGAGAACAGAGTTATGGACATGGGGAGAGGGGAGGAGAGGATGAGATGTATGGAAATAGTAACATGGGAACTTGCATTACCATATGTAAATTAGATAGCCAACGGGAATTTGCTGTGTGGCTCAGGAAACTCAAACAGGGGTCTGTATCAACATAGAGGGGTGGGATGGGGAGAGAGATGGGAGGGAGGTTCAAAAGGGAGGGAATATACGTATACCTATGGCTGATTCATGTTGAGGTTTGACAGAAAACAACAAAATTCTGTAAGCAATTATCCTTCAATAAAAAAATAAAAAAAACCACGTCCTTGCTTTTCTGAGCTGCAGATGAGCTTTCAGTCTGATCTGCTGCTTTTCTGCCTCGTCTCATTAAGAGTTCTTTGTATAGAAGAGCAACTGGTGTGGATTTAAAAAGCACATTTTTCTCCAAAGGATTCCTTCAAAGAGGAGAGATGAGCAAACAGATCACCAGTTATGACAGCTTAGGGTGGAGTAAAAGGAAAGACACTGTACTTCCTCTTCCCTAACCTCATCCAAGGCCCAGAGGCGTAAGAGAAAGCAAAGACCCAGAGCACAGTAGGAATTACTCCACGTTTGGACAATTTACTCAAACCCAGCTCCAGGTTTTCATGTAAACAGAGATATTTCTCCTGCTTCCTATTTATGTTTTAACTTTAAGAGAGCAAAGAAGAACATCTTCAGATTCTTAGAGATTACAAAATTCACGTGTTAATTTTCTAAAGAGGTCTAAATAAATAAAATCACTTCCCTTTCCTTACAGCTTATATTTTATTACATTACTACAGTAATTATGGGCTTCCCTCGTGGCTCAGTGGTAAAGAATACGCCTGCTGATGAAGGAGACCCAGGTTCAATCCCTGGGTTGGGAAGATCGCCTGGAGAAGGAAATGGCAACCCACTCCAGTGTTCTTATCTGGGAAGTCCCATGGACAGAGGAGCCTGGTGGGCTACAGTTCATGAGGATGCAAAGAGTTGGACAAGACTTAATGACTAAACAACAACAAGAGGAAAACCTGTGATTTTCTAAGGGGTTCTGGGATTAGGTGCAAACCATTCTGATAACCTCTGGAAAACAGGAATGCCATCCCTCTGGATGGCAAGAGACAGCAAACACCCTTTGGGTTTCTGGCTCCCCTGCCCCACAGGCAGCCCTGATGCCCCCTCAGTTAGGTAACAAGGCACAAAAGGAAAGACACCCGCCCTAAGTTGCAGGAAATGAAAGCTAAGCGTGAGGAGTCACAGGTCACCCTAAGCCTTCATCACACCTGCTGAAGGCAGAGGACCTGAGAGCAGGCTGCTCCTAACTATTCTTCCATGTAATCATTTCTAAAATGCTCTCCCCAGTTGCTATTATGATATAGGTAAGCAGTGAAGATGCTAGTATCTTGTTCCCAGCGACGATTTCCATGGAAAGCAGGGTAGAGAGGTCAAGGTGAAGAGGGTGCATAATCTTAAGGGGTTCTGGGATTAGGTGCAAACCATTCTGATAACCTCTGGAAAACAGGAATGCCATCCCTCTGGATGGCAAGAGACAGCAAACACCCTTTGGGTTTCTGGCTCCCCTGCCCCACAGGCAGCCCTGATGCCCCCTCAGTTAGGTAACAAGGCACAAAAGGAAAGACACCCGCCCTAAGTTGCAGGAGATGAAGGCTAAGCGTGAGGAGTCACAGGTCACCCTAAGCCTTCATCACACCTGCTGAAGGCAGAGGACCTGAGAGCAGGCTGCTCCTAACTATTCTTCCATGTAATCATTTCTAAAATGCTCTCCCCAGTTGCTATTATGATATAGGTAAGCAGTGAAGATGCTAGTATCTTGTTCCCAGCGACGATTTCCATGGAAAGCAGGGTAGAGAGGTCAAGGTGAAGAGGGTGCATAATCGCAGTGCAGAGGGCCTCCGGATACCTCAGCTGCACCAACACTCCCCCCTTTTGTGTTGGACCTGGCAAGCCCCCTCTTCCCTCACTCCCCTGCTCCTCCGATCTAATCTGTTCCCATTCCCACACCACAAGGACAGACAACACCCCTTCCTCACCCCAGCGTCATAAAGGAAACGAGGCTAAGCTATTCCAATATGCTTTCCATCCTCAGAATTCCCACAGCACTTACTTTTTCCACTTCTCAGCTGATGTCTATATTTGTATGTCTTTCTAGTCTCCCAAACTATACCAATAAAGACTATATATAAAAAAAAAAACTATATATCAAAGAAAAGCAACTTAAGGATAACAATGTACCATACTTTTTGATTCCTTACCAGTACTCAGCTCTTTGCAGGATATATGTTGATTCAACAATCCACACAATGAATAATTATGGAGGCCTAGGGCTTCCCCGGTAGCTCAGTGGTAAAGAACCCACCTGCCAATGCAGGAGTCACAGGTTTGATCCCTGGGTCAGTAAGATCCCCTAGAGAAGGAAACGGCAACCCACTCCAGTTTTCTTGCCTGGGAAGTCCCATGGACGGAGGAACCTGGTGGGCTACAGGCCACGAGGTCACAAAGAGTCAGACACAACTGAGCAACTAAACAACAGCTGTGTATTGCACACTGTACCAAGTGCCAGAAATCCTCCTGGCAAAGCTTACACTCACATTAGGTAAAAGGTATTTCCCTCCTAAATTAAAGAGAAATAAATCTCCCACTCCTGGCCACCTCCACAGAGACACCAGGTAATGTGAAAGACTGTACTTAAGCATTTCATGGCCTCCCAACACCAGCCCCTCTCCAAGACCCAGCTACCTACCCACCCTGAAATGCCCAAAGATTCTAGGAAGGAAATGACTGAAATAAAGGAAATAACTGTCACCAGGGCCCCAACTGCTCCTCTGCAGAAACCCTTCTCAAGGAGTTGGCCATAAGAACCACAGGTTCCCCTGATGGCCAGAGGGAGAAGACCAAAGATGACACTGCACAGGAGTTCAACTGCATCACTGCAGCCGGGGTCTATGTACTGCACAAGGGCCAGGAGTCCAAAGGATGTCAGTATGGCTCAAGCTGGTCAGAAGCAGGACAGCAATGGTGCAGAAGGATGGTGAGGCCTGGAGACTCGGAGCTAAAGGAACAAAAGGCCTTACAGGCAGCAATGCAAATATGCAAGAAGCCCCTCACAGGCAGGGACTTCTGATGAAAATCCTCATGGAGGGTCACGCCAGGAAAAGACCTACTTCCTGCTACAAGTAAGTGGAATGCTGACACTGAAAGATTCATCTGTATACCTAAGTAGATACAGCCTGCGGTGTACTAGCCAGACCGCTCTTTAAAAAGACATATACTAAAATGTTGATAGTTGTCATCTTTGGGCAGGTTTTGTTTTTCTCGTTCATCTCCACCAGGAAATAGAAATCACAAATATAAAAAATCAAGCTGGTTTCTAAAAGTAATAATTAAAAAGGAGCCATAGGAGAAATAAGGCATTAAATCATATACAAGAAAACAAATTTAAAATGAAAGATTCCGAAGTAAAAAAAGAAATCTCTAACAGATTTTTGGGGTTTTCCTACAAATATAAAACCTAGGCATTAAAAAAAAAACCAACAAAAAAACCTAGGCATTATAATAAGAAATCTACTTGCAAAGAGAGCAGGAAAATATTATTTGGCATCTCAGATTGCCTTAGAATTGAGTAAGAACAATAGTGTTAGATAGGAATGACTCTAAAAATTTCCAAGATCAAATCCAAAATAAAAATATATAATTGACTTTAATTTACCTTTTTTTTTTGGAAATTTCCAGTTTCCAAGAAGAGCCACTATTGAAACTAAGAAATCAGGGTTTACTTTCCTTCCAGTGTAAAGTCTGAACTCAAACAATCGTGAGAGCCTTTATTCTTTTCTTGTCACATTCGAAGCACATGTTGATGTTTTTCATTTCTATACCATTCTTCCTGCTGCAACAGAGATAAGTACATGAAACACAGGTTAAAGATACTGAAAATGAAGTAAAGGAAAATATATATGAAATCAAGAATACAATTTTAAAGCAAGAGATGTACAACTTCAGTACAAAGTAGTGGGTAGAGTAAAGATAGGAACATTTCCTTTCCTGGCACTAAAAAAAAAAAAAAAAAGACCTGGCTATTTATATTCACAAACTTACACAGAGCAAACTACTCTCAGATCTGAGCTGAAGGTCAAAACCTTATCAACAGCAATATAATTGGAAAAAATATAAATCACAGATAAAACCTTTGTACGTTTTTGTGTTGTTTTTTTTTTTCAATTTTATTGAAGTATAGTTGATGTACCATGTCATGTTAGTTTTGGGTATACACCAAAGTGAATCAGTTATATATATACACACAGCCACCCCTTTTAAGATTCTTTTCCCATAAAGGCTTTACATTACATATAGGCTTTACATTCCCATATAGGCTTTACTCATTACAGAGTACTGAGTTCCCTGTGCTATACAGCAGGTCCTTATTTTTCTTAAACATTAGAATAATCATGCACTTCAGTGCTCCATCCTACCACTAGAGAAAACAAGACGTATTGGACACATCTAAAAGTTGTGATCACTCCATGAGGACTCTCAACTTGAGCACTTCTGTTTCCAAAGCTCTCTGAAGTGTAAGAACACAGTTACTCACGCTTCATACATATGTTCAGAGAACAAGCAAAAAGTGAAATCCATGATCTGCTGGGTCTGTTTTGTCAAATTTTGATTAAGACTGTTTACGTGCCAAACTAAATTCCTTATGACCTGTGGCAAACCTATACTGGCTGCCATTAGTCCGAGGTACTGGACTTCCTTCCACTTCTGCTTTAGGAAGTCAGATACCTAGTGAAAAGTGAAAGTGAAAGTTGCCCAGTCGTGTCCGACTCTTCGCAACCCCATGGACTGTCCATGGAATTCTCCAGGCCAGAATACTAGAGTGGGTAGCCTTTCCCTTCTCCAGAGGATCTTCCCAACCCAGAGATCAAACCCAGGTCTCCCACATTGCAGGCGGATTCTTTACCATCTGAGTCACCAGGGAACTGATGTATCTTGTTTAAAAAATTAAAACAATAAAAACAAGGGTAATACCAGCTTATCAATTGATCTATGAAACAGTTTACTTAAGGGTTTATTCTTGACAATGCAAAAGGATTTGCTACTGCTTTCTATGATGTGTTCTATCAGGGCAAAAAGTTTTTTCTAGATTACCAACCAGTTCCACCTTTGGGGAGCTGTAACTGATANAGATTCTTGAGAGTCCCTTGGACTGCAAGGAGATCAAACCAGTCAAACCTAAAGGAAATCAACCCTGAATAGTCATTGGAAGGACTGATGCGGAAGCTGAAGCTCCAGTAAACTGGCCCCCTGATGGGAAAAGCTGATTCATTGGAAAAGACCTTGATGCCGGGAAAGATTGAAGGCAGGAGAAGGGGATGACAGAGGATGAGATGGTTGGATGGCATCACTGACTCAAAGGACATGAGTCTGAGCAAATTCCGAGAGATGGTGAAGGACAGGGAAGCCTGGAGTGCTGCAGTCTATGGGTCCCAGAGTCAGACATGACTTGGCAACTGAACAACAATGACATCTGACTTCCTACTCCTATCTCACTTGGAATTACAATCGTCAGTCACACAAATGAAATACTTGAGTTTAGTACTAAAAAGAAAATGAGGCAGCAACTCCACACTCTAGAGGGCAAATGTTCTTAGAGAACCATTTCACAAAAGCAGTGTATTACTGAACAACCACACATTCAGTTTCTGGGACAGTCCTCATCCTAAATATTCTGACCTGCTAGCCACATAAATGTACTTATCAGAGCAAGATATCTGGAAATAGAATTTGGAATACAAGGACGCCCATACAAAAGACAACTTACACGGGATATACCTATATTTGAATTGTCCTAGCTCAAACTCTCCAAAGAGCAGCTGTATTTCATAGGGTATTGAGTAAGACTGAAACTTAACAAGGCGATGTCTAGAGAAAAAACTGGAGACTCATACAAGACCATGAAAATGATGGGTCAACCAAATGAGATCGTCCTTGAACAAAAATGAAGCAGGGACAGAAGTCTGCACAAGGACAGACATCTACAGGACTTGCTTCCTGATTTCATTCCACAGACCCCTTTCTCTCCCACGTACCCCCACTTCACATGCCCAAAATGCTGATTCACCTAGGCCTTCTCTTCTCCTTTTAAAGCAGCACTAAAGCTTTCATAATTCCCCGGGAGGTGGGGGGGTGGTGGTGGGAGTAACCACAGGACAGAGAAGTACACAAATCAAATAAGTCACAAAGCTATATACGCTGTAAGAAGAAAATAGGGCATGTTTTTAATGCCCTATTAAAACATGGTAGTCCTTAATCTTGCATGCCCATTAGTATCATCTGGAAGCTTANTAAAACATGGTAGTCCTTAATCTTGCATGCCCATTAGTATCATCTGGAAGCTTATACAAATACCAGTGCTTGCACAACACTCCATCAACTGGATCAGAATCCATGGGAGTAGGGCCAGAGAAACAGCTTCTTATTTAGGGTCTGCAGATAATTATAATACACAGCCAGGTAGGGGAATCACTGGTATAGAGTGGCCAGAGGGTGCCATTTGTACCAATTGTCAGGGACGGCCTTTCTGAAATGATGTTTCGATTGTAACTTACATCGTCCCTCCAGGACAGTTTGATTCTGGGGCAATGGGGACAGCCAACCCTACTTCAGTGACATGTCCCTTCATTTTCTTTCTCAGAAACAAATAATAGCACTGTATTAGGCCCAGAGAGGCTGTGAGGATAACAGGTACAAAGAAGGTATTAAACACAGTCAAAGGAAAGCGGAGCCCAAACGCTATGGAGGAACACTGTGCTGTTTTACTATGTGGATTGAGACAATTGATTATCACGGTCTGGGAGAGCCGCCAGCTTCAAACACACGCTGATGTTCCAACAGATAATTAACCCCAGTAAGGAGGGGGACCCATCAGAACAGTGTGCTCCTTTATTTTTAGGAAATGCGGCAACAATCCTCCCTTAGAATAAATAACGAAAACAAGGGAAATTTTACAATTACAAATTTTGTATGAATCCTGCCTGAGAATCCCACTTACCACCACCCTGGTGGTCTTTGATCAAAGCGACAGGCCAGGCTGAGTCTCCACATCACACCTTGTAAAAGTCACACTCTATCNACAAATTTTGTATGAATCCTGCCTGAGAATCCCACTTACCACCACCCTGGTGGTCTTTGATCAAAGCGACAGGCCAGGCTGAGTCTCCACATCACACCTTGTAAAAGTCACACTCTATCTAAGCGACCTAAATCTGATGTCCCAAAATGACAGTAAAACCAGAACAATCCAACGCCAAAAGGCAGCTGGGGCTCAAAGCAGCGATGAGACTGGAGTCAGGGGCTGAGAAGGGAGCCGTCTCCAAGTGTTCGGTTCTCGCTCAGAAAAGGTGTCAGGGGAAAGGGTCTCCAGCTGCCCCCAAGTCTGGGCTCCGCCGCGCTGCAGCAGCTCCCGCGGGTATTGCGGCAAGTCTAGAAAGCCGAGGATGGAGATGCTAGCGCCCTGCCCCGCCCCGGGACCGGCTGCTGCTCGAGCTACTCCGGACCAGCCCCAAGTCTACCGTGCCTTGGGCCGGAGGCTCGCGTTCCAGGCTCAGGTACCCCAGCCATGACCCCAGGGGCTGCAGCTCGTCTGCATCGGGCCGGGAGCTCGGGAGCCAAAGCGCGGAGAAAAGGGTCTTAGCAGCCGAGAGGCGTCCGGGAGGAGCCAGGCAGTGGTTCGCTCGGGCGGCAGGGCCCATCCCGGCGCCGGGGCACAAGCCGCAGGCCGGCACTCACCTCCATCCAGGTCCGGCCTCCCGCCGCGCGCTCTCCAGCTGCTGGGGACCCGGACACCCCGCTCAACAGCCGCAGCACCAGGCCGCCCGGCCCTGGCTTCCTGGCCCCGCGGCGTCTCCTCACCCCCGACCCCCGGCTGCGATTGGTCCAGCTCTGGGAGGGGCGGGGCCGAGGATGCTGACTGACAGCCGCGGCCTCGGAGCGCGGAGCGTCCCCCAGAGCCGGGACGCAGAGGTGACCTCTGCGGAGCCCCGTGCAACTTTTGTCCCTCGTGAGGGCGTCCTGCTGCTGTCGCCTTTGATCTGAGCTCTGCCCACTGTCGGGACCCGGCTCCTGTCGCCTTCGGACATCAGAGTGTCCCAGGGAGCGACTGGAGATGCCCCTACTTGGGCCGTCTTTCCGCTCAGCGGCGCAATGTTTTGCTCCCTTCACGCGTTTGCCAAGCTCGGGCACAGAACAGGCTGGTCCTTGAATCTTCCCTTACTTGAAATTAGTCGACGTATTTTCTTTTTTACTCTTCTTGTACGTGACCTAGCGAAAAGGCCTGAATACTAACCGCCACCACTACCACCCCCACCGAAAAAACCACTTCATCCTACTTTGGACTTTCTTCTAAGCCGTAAAACGTCCGCAGCAACTATGTGAAACTCAGGAACTGAAAGGAGTGCTTCGGAGACAGAAGCAATTGCTCAAGAAACCTGAGGGGATGGGGCTGCGCTGTGTTCCTCAGGGCTAGAAGCACAGGGCTGTGGGGTTAACCAAGTTCATCCCAGAAAAAGGCAGGCTTCAAAAGCGGACTGCCCAGACTGTTGTCTCAAGGTCAAAATATTTGACATTTTCTGACCACAATGGACTCTATGTGCTCATTCAAAAGTTTTCGAGGCAGGCCCGTATGCATGAGTGACCCGTATGACTGAAATAAAAGGAGGTTCTACATGAGGCAACCTCTTCTGGAGTAACCATTTCTTTCTTCTTTCTCAAGGATCAGCCTTTTGTACTCATAAAAGGTGATTTCCGTTTCCTCTGTGCCTAAGGATCCACAGCCCAAAGTGATAGACTTCTGCTCTGATTAAGTCCTGCGTTCCATACATGGACTCCCTGACGCCTGTATTTCCCAGTCTGGCTATCTGGCAAGTGGCAAATATTAATACTTAAACAGGACATACTGACTTCTAGATGGTTTGGGACCACCTTAGTGATCTTTATTAACCCCCAATCACATAGGCACTCATAACCCCAAGGCATTTGAGTTATCTTATATTTTACAGTCTGAGAACCAGACATGGAAAAATGGACTGGTTCAAAATTGGGAAAGGAGTACTTTAAAGCTATATATTATCACCTTGCTAATTTAACTTAAATGCAGGGTGCGTCATGCAAAATACCAAGCTGTATGAATCACAAGCTGGAATCAAGATTGTCGGGAGAAATGCTAACAACCTCAGCTATGCCGATGACACCACCCTAATGGCAGAAAATGAAGAGGAACTAAAGAGCTTCTTGATGAAGGGGAAAGAGGAGCGTGAAAACGATGACTTAAAACTCAACATTCAGAAAACTAAGTTCATAGCATCCGGTCCCATCATTTCATGGCNTCTGCCATTAAGTGGCATCATCTGCAAATCTGAGGTTATTGATATTTCTTCGGACAATCTTAACTCCAGCTTGTGATTCATCCAGCCTGGCTTTTCGCATGATGTACTCTGCATATAAGTTAAATAAGCAGGGTGGCAACATACAGCCTTGTCATACTCCTTTCCCAATTTGGAACCAGTCCCTTGCTCCATGTCTAATTCTAACTGTTGCTTCTTGACTTGAATACAGGTTTCTCAGGAGACAGGTAAGATAGTCTAGTATTCCGATCTCTTGAAGAATTTCCCACAGCTTTTGGTGATCCACACAGTAAAAGGCTTTTGTATAGTCAGTGAAGCAGAAGTAAATGTTTTTCTGGAATTCCCTTGCTTTCTCTGTGATCCAGCAAATGTTGGCAATTTGCTGTCTGATTCCTCTGCCTTTTCTAAACCCAGCTTGGATATCTGGAAGTTCTTGGTTCCCATAATGCTGAAGCCTAGCATGCATGATTTTAAGCATGACCTTACTAGCGTGGGAGATGAGTGCAATTGTCTGATGGCTTGAACATTCTTTAGTGCTTCCCTTCTTGGGAATTGGGATGAAGCTTGATGTTTTCCAGTCTTGTGGCTACTCCTGGGTCTTCCAGAATTTCTGACATATTGAGTGCAGCACTCTGATAGCATCATCTTTTAGGGTTTTGAATAGCCCTACTGGAATTCCATCGCATCCACTAGCTTTATTGACAGCAGTGCTTCCTAAGGTTCACTTGACTTCACACTCCAGAATGTCTGGCTCTGGGTGACTGACTACATCATTGTGGTTATCCAGTTCATTAAGATCTTTTTTGTACAGTTCTTCCATGCTTTCTTCCCATCTCTTTTTGATGTCTTCTGCTTCTACAAGATCTCTACCATTTCCATCTTTCATTATGCCCATCTTTGGGCAAAAGTTTCCCTTGATATTTCCAATTTTCCTGACGGGACCTCTCGTCTCCCCTTCTGTTGTTTTCCTCTATTTTTATGCACTGTTCATTGAAGAAGGCTTTCTTGTCTCTCCTTGTTCTTCTTTGGAACTCTGCGTTTAGTTGGGTGTAAGGCAGAATCCCACCGTACCAAAAAAACACACACTTTGGATCCTAGCCTGAGTGAGTCTAATTCACAGCTTTGTCTCTTACTAGCATTGCCATGCCAAACAAATTACTTAATTTCTCTGAGTTTGTTTCCTCAACTGTAAATTAGGCACAACACTATGTGCTCTTACAAATAAGTGAGAAAACAAATGAAAAGTACCTAGGAGAGTATCCCAAATCTTTTCCTCTTGAATTCCCTAATCTCAGGTTATGACCTAGCATAAGGAATTTCAAAATGTTGAATTTATGATCATCTAACTTTGAACTGTGAAAAAAATGAGAACATAAGGTTTGTATTTTTGATATCAAAGCAAAGGACCTAGTCATTTCTGACCTACCTGCAGAAACAGTTTAGATGCTAGTTACTAAACTTTATTTCTCTAAGTGAAACAAAGAGTGGAGCCTAAATTTAGGTAAACAAAAGCAAATTAAGCCTGTTTCTGATGCAGCTAACTTGAGATCCCTCAAGATTTGCTGATATAGAGAAATGCAAATCAAAACCACAATGAGGTACCATTATACGCCAGTCAGGATGGCTGCTATCCAAAAGTCTACAAGCAATAAATGCTGGAGAGGGTGTGGAGAAAAGGGAACCCTCTTACACTGTTGGTGGGAATGCAAATTAGTACAGCCACTATGGAAAACAGTGTGGAGATTTCTTAAAAAGCTGGAAATAGAACTGCCATATGACCCAGCAATCCCACTTCTGGGCATACACACCAAGGAAACCAGATCTGAAAGAGACACGTGCACCCCAATGTTCATCGCAGCACTGTTTATAATAGCCAGGACATGGAAGCAACCCAGATGCCCATCAGCAGACGAATGGATGAGGAAGCTGTGGTACATATACACCATGGAATATTACTCAGCCATTAAAAAGAATTCATTTGAATCAGTTCTAATGAGATGGATGAAACTGGAGCCCATTATACAGAGCGAAGTAAGCCAGAAAGATAAAGACCATTACAGTATACTAACACATATATATGGAATTTAGAAAGATGGTAACGATAACCCTATATGCAAAACAGAAAAAGAGACTCAGATGTATAGAACAGACTTGTGGACTCTGTGGGAGAAGGCGAGGGTGGGATGTTTCAAGAGAACAGCATCGAAACATGTATATTATCTAGGGTGAAACAGATCACCAGCCCAGGTTGGATGCATGAGACAAGTGCTCGGGCCTGGTGCACTGGGAAGACCCAGAGGGATCGGGTGGAGAGGGAGGTGGGAGGGGGGACCGGGATGGGGAATACATGTAAATCCATGGCTAATTCATTTCAATGTATGACAAAAACTACTGTAATGATGTAAAGTAATTAGCCTCCAACTAATAAAAATAAATGGAAAAAAAAAAAAAGATTTGCTGATATGCACCAGCAAATCTGGGGCTTCCCAGATGGTGTCAGTGGTAAAGAACTCGCCAGTGAGGTAGATGTAAGAGGTGCAGGTTCAATCCCTGGGTAGGGGAGATCCCCTGGAGGAGGGCATGCCAACCCACTCCAGTGTTCCTGCCTGGAAAATTGCATGGAAAGAGGATCCTGGTAGGCTACAGCCCATAGGGTCACAAAGAGTTGGAAATGCAATGTTAGAAACTTGCAGCATAAGTCCTCCTGAGCCCATGTCAGCTCCTAATTCAGTTGTTGTGCTTCCTGCTTTGAACAAGTGCATGAAATTTTGGCATCAAGAGCCACCAAGTCATTGTTCAGAATAAGTGACTGCTGTCACATTGGATACCATCCACCCTATTCCAAAACACCATGGACAGTGAGAGGATGTTGCCACGGGTGGGAGACTAGAAGAGGTGTTTGGTACCTGTATGAATCTGCTCAGGCTGTCACAGTAAAATACTATGGGCTGAGTGGCCTAAACAACAGAAGTTTATTTTCTCACAATTCTGGAGGCTAGAAGCCCCAGTTCAAGATGCAGCTGATTCAGTTCCTGGTCAGAGTTCCCTTCCTGGCTTACGGATAAACACAATAAACACCTGTGTCCTTACATGGCGGAAAGAATGAGAACTCTTTGGCGTCTTCTTCTCTTATAAAGACACCATTCTCTTCAGGTTAGGGCCCCGCCATTATGACCTCATTTAACCTTAATTACTTCTTGTTGGGAAGGGCAGTCTTTCACACATGAAGCTTTGGTTTGGAACACTTCCTTTCCAAGAAATAAAAGCTCACAGCTTCAGCTGAATTTTTTGCCTTGTTTGGGAATATTTTTTCCCTTTTTCAGACTCAACATCCATTCCTTTATTCCACTCTTTCCAAAGAGTTCCTCTATCCCTTCCACCATGTGATGATAGTGAGAAAATAGCCATTTGTGAAACAGGAAGCTAGCCCCCACCAGACACTAAATGCCTTGTTTTTGTATTTCTAGCCTCCAG